ATTTCGCCTTTTAAACTGCTGCACCTAATCAATAGAGTGTTATCATTAAAGTCATATTTGTTGGTGAGTCAACGTTAAGTATAAGACTTACGTTGCTAAAATCTGGAGTTCAATTCCCTGCGATGGACAGAGTGGAGATTGTGTATTTTTGGGCTAAAACCTAGCAAAAATGAGAAATTATATCATTTGATCTACTTGTTATTAGATTCTAGTAAATAATTTGATGAAAGTTGTATCGTTTGATAAACGATTTTATAAAACTATTCAGTTTTAGAAAATAAGATTTTATCCACTGTATAATTATAGCAATCGATAATTTATTTTTTATTCATTTCAACGTTTCGTTAGTACAACTTCTTCACAACGTTCTACTTAGACTGTCCGCTCTTGAAAAAAAAGACCTTGTTCTCTAGTTCGTGGTCGTTTTCTTAATAGCATAACAGTTCATTTTGTTACAACAGCGGAAGTCACGCGACGCTGGGAGCATGAGCGCTGGAGTTTCTAGAAGGATCATGAATTTTACTGGCAACTCTAGTTTGTTCCAGACGCCCTCTTTTTTAGTATATAAGCCCGGCAAATAAAGCCAACGAGGAGATAGATATGCAGATAGATTGAAGATGGAGATAACTGAGTCAAGCGAACATTAGGCACCGTAAGTAAAGTGTGTGAATCACTGTGAATTATAGCGTGTGTTATAAAATTTGTTAAGTGTATTACAAAGTTGTACCGAGAAAGAATAAACTAGTTTTAATTAAGAAAGGACTTGTATCGCTGAAGTTCCTCGTAAAGAATTTATACCGGAAATTAACAAACGAGCAGATACGTAACAATTTATTCATTCTGTAGTTAATTAAATTACAAAGAATTATTAAATGTGACTGAAATATTTTATTCTAGTTATCAGAAAGATTTTGTGCCAGATAAAATTGTTCTTTAACAGCGAAACTAACAATGATATATATAAGTCCATCTTGTGACAGACATTTTTTAATCGTTTACGAAATCTTAGTTTTCTAATATTTTTTCATGAATCCTACGTCCAACAAGGAATGGTTAACTAAGTAACTTATATTTTGCACATTGTATAAGCTATAAGTTTTAGAACAGATAAAATAACTGAGTTAAAAACCAGGATCTTCGTAACGAAACAATTATTAAGGATCAGAACGAAAGGAGAATCACGTAGAAAATCGGTCTTTTTTTTCTTCTTCCAAAATTTGAATAAATGCATGTAGAAACATGCACCCTTTTAATTTCCTTTTCATATGACACAAAAAAAAAAAAAGAGTAAAGAAACCAGGGCGACTTAAAATAAAATTAACCCAACTTTAACCCATATCAGTGCTCACGCACACGGTTTGTTCAATGATGAAAAGCTTAATTTAAATTATTAAAATTTTCTCGGCATGTTTCCCAAACAACGTCACTAGGCAGGTTTCTGTTTACGCTTTGTTTCACTTATTAGCCGCTAGATTAAACCATTTCGACTCCACTTTAAAAGGTAGATTTTCTACAAAATTACGACATATGGTGTAATGTATTGAACCAGATAATTGTGTGTGTGTGTGTGTGTGTATATATATATATAATTTGTCCATGTGTTTAATTTAAAAAATATGTTTTATATGTCACGTTTTTATGTGTGTTTTTTAAACAGTTACATAGTTAGCTCATTATACTGTTTATATTTAATTCCGTGTGGTTTTGAAAAATTGGTCACAATCTTAGACACGCAAACCGTAGAAAACAAAACTACAACAATAAATTCAAGAAAATATAAAATAGTTTTCTATTACTAATATCACACAATCATGCGATTGATATGACATGCTTAGAAATAAATTTTTCATGTGAGAAACCGTAGCCCAAGAAAATGATTAATTTGTTTTTGTCTTGGACTGGCAGCGCTGTTTATTAATGACATTTTACTTTTAGTAATAACATGAATATAAAGGAAATAAATAACTGAAGGAAAATACTTCCTATAATTAAACAGGGTTGTTAATTACATTTCACTCACGCCTCAACAACCAGAGAAGACATAAGATGCACGAACCAAGTGGCGACAAACATCAAAGTTGTGATCATATAGTTGAGACGTAAGGCCTAACGTCTTCTGTGTATTTAATAATGTCTCTGCTCTGTGGAAAGGTACTTTGAATCAGCGATGTTAGAAAAGTCGAGTGTTTAGAAGCAAAAACCAGTTTTTGTTTACATTTTATTTGAATTGGATCTTGATAAATACGAAAATGTTTTGCTCAAGCCCATGGTCATTAAACCTATTTTGGATAGTATATCAAATGTCTCTTCCTGTTTTAACGAATAACACGAAATATATAAGGTTTGCTAAGATATATAAATGTTAATGATTATAGATATTTAGATTAATTTTGAAAAAATAATGGAATAGCATTTATGTTTTTGAGGCAAGAAATCAGCAGCTGTTATTTCTATTATTCACGGTCAAGACGAAATGTATTTTCGTTTGGACGCCATCAGGTTTATTACACCAACAGTAGGGCTATAAAAGCACCACTCGTCGTCATAAGTTGTTTATCTTAAAAAAATAAAATAAAAACAATCCATGATTAAACTATACAAAAACATAAATAATGAAATACCTATGATGGTTATAGGTCCGATCAACAATAAACAACCACACAAAGTTAGGTAATGTATGATAATATAATACCTATTAAATAGGCAAACATTTTTTAAAAATACACTACGAAAGTGACTAAATAAAGGCACGTTTATAATACAGGTGTATCAGTTATAATTATAACCCATATTTTTTCCAAATATTTACACACGTATATATGTGTATATTGTTTTTAGCCTATTTCCAGAAACGCCTTTCTAACCTTGTAAATCATGTAGGCGTTTATATTTGAAGTTTTATATTAAAAACAAACAACAACTAATTTTTCGAAAATAAGCGTGCTATCGTCATCTGTTGAAAGTTAAGTTAGTATTCTGTCACAACCTTTTGATTTGATTTATTCTTAATACTTCATTGTCATTAAAAGTTGTATTAATAGACCACTCCAAAAATCAGTAAATTATAAATTGCGTTACTTAAAATTACTTTTATTTTAGGTAATTTTCCGTTAAGCAACAAGTAATAAATTTTTATACATATTATTATTTTCATTCATTACAGTAAACTAACTAAAAAATAGAGAATTAAGAAGATAAATAGATGACCGTTTCGTTTACGCAATTTAACATCAACTGTTCCAAGAAATGGCATCTCAAAAAGGATCTCTGTGGCGCTATCTATGATTATAATTATTAACTCTTTGGATGAGAATACGTCACGCCGCACACATGTTTTTATATAAATAATTATAAACAAAAATATTGCTGCAGTCAAATATAAGTTCAAAAAATAAGAATAACTAACAAAACATATTTAATAATACTGACGTTATCACACCTATCGCGTTGGGAACTTTGCCTGTTTTCCTTATCTTTGATTATAATGTACAAAAAACCAATCGTATGTAGAAATACTTGAGCAGGTTTTCATACAAAAAATTAAAACTTTTGTTTGACATTTGATCTGTGTTGTAATCATTAAAATATGTGTGTTATAAATTTATAACAATTTTATTTAGCACTTATTATTAAATAGTAATGAAAAAATGAAAAAGGAAAACTCATCCAAACCACTCTTACAGCATGTCTTACGTTGGACTACAAAGTCTTTGCTTATTTGTTTTAGAGCAAAGCTACATTGAACTATCAAATGTGCCCTTTGTGGGGAATAGAAACCGGGATATTAGAATTGTAAGTTTATCAACTTACCGCTGTCGCACTGGGGGACTACGGAATATTTACAGTAGTTCAACTGAAAATTGAGAACTCCAGTTTCAAATCATACTGATTATCATCAGCCCAGCTGAACGATGTATTGGAACGAATACAGACAACATTACAACAAATCTAAAATATCAGAGCTAAATGTTTATTTGGTTATTTGGTATTCTGACTAGAACAGATCGCATAGCAAAGGTTTTATATAACTTTCTCAGATCTTTATCAGATACTGGAAGCAAAATCTACGATATTTTTCTCAGTTAAGTTGAAATTTGTAAAGGTAACATGGTATAAAGATGCTCATTAAACTTTACAAGTTAGTCACAAAACGGACTTTGAATTATCTCAATTTTATATACTCGTATATTTCATAGTAATTTTCGCATTATACATTAATTTAGTAAAAACAGAGAAAATACTTAAAAGTTTATAAGTCTAAAGGTATAATAAATCTACCTTTTCTGTACTGTAATTTTTATTTCTAAGACTGTCATTCATAACTTATAGAAATCAAATATTTAAATTTAAAAATTAAACGATGTTGTAATTGAAATTACTCATTTTTACTTGTTTATTATTCTTGAAAAGTTTCTGTGATACCAGGGGTCAGCACTTATAACCAGTCCTCATGTTGATTGTGAAGAACATAGCAAAGTAAATATGACATGTGGACGTATATTACTGTTAAAAATTTTACGAGATTTTTGCCTATGAGGTGTTATCAGTCAAGTATGATTTATAAGTCGTTAATAAGTTAAACAACTGATGTTCTTACTTGCTATTTTGTAAAGTTCGAATTAAACACGTATCTACTGTTGTTGATTAGAACTTGGAAGTTGGATTTGGGAAGAGTATAGTCTATACTATAGGCCTAAAAGTAAAAACAGTAAAACCTTCTCCTAAATGAATACCATTTATTAAATAAGGTGAAGCCTAGCTAGTGATTTGTATATATGTATATGTAGAGAGAGAGAGAGAACCTCTTTTTGACATGTAATTAGTAAGCTATTAATTCTGGTGCCTGTGACCATGGCTATGAATCTGTCATTTCAATGGTCAACTTTTTATTTTATTTCATTTATAACCAATTTCACTATAAAGAAAAGACTACTCACTGAAAGCTGCAAGAACCTTTTTTTTTTCAAATCTTAAATTTTTGTCCTCTCATTCTGGGGTTTCCGTTCTTATTGTTTTATGAACTTCACAGTTTCATTTCGGGGTTAGTTGAACATGTAGAATTTTTATATTTTTGTGTAAGTGAACAGAATTCTGTTGTTAATAGGGCTATTTTCTAAAATGATGATTTTGTGTTGTATCTGTAACTTGTATATTTTTGAACAGAATATTGAATTATTCAGACATTACTAAGGTTTTTCAAAGGATGTCATGAGATCTCACAAAGCTCCATTTGCCACAGCTTAATACTGAAAGAAAAGAAAAAAATACTATAGACTTGATTTTTGTTTTTCAGAAAGTAACTATGGATGTTGACAAGATTCCCTACCATTCTGTTCGAAGTGTTACTTTCAGTACATACGGCACTGAAGAACTGAAGAAACTCAGTGTCCTTGAAATAACCAATCTTAAGACACTCGATGCCCTTGGTCATCCAACATCAGGTGGACTGTATGATGCTGCTCTAGGTAGAGTTTCTGTTCACATTTCATTTGTGGTTAGTTGAACGTGTCATGGTTTAACATATTCAAATGTTTGTCTACAAAAAATACTTTTTTTTAACATTTTAATATGATTAAGAAGGAAAACAATGTAGTATTAAGTAAAGAAACAAGACAAAGTTTGATGGCTTAATTAAAGATTTAATAGTTGAGTATTTGAAGTTATGGAATAGATCAACAGTGTATTATATGGTTCATTGATAATGGTAAGTCATCCAAAAATTCCCGGGTAGAAGAATAGTAGTGTTGGAGAATGTGGAAATATATTCAGTGTCATTTATGTAATGGCTGAGCTTTTAAATCAGTGAGTATTCTATGAGGAATATTGGAGTTGACCTTAATCATGTAGGTTTTTAACCTTTTACCACCTCAAATTCCCATATGAAATCTGTGTAAAATTTGAAGGTAAAATAAAACTTTGAACACATTCTTATCAATCTTGAAGTTAAAGATAATATTTTTAGTTGTTTAGAAAGTTGTAATATTTGTTCTGCTAACCATATAAAATTAATTATTAAAACTTATTTCAATAAAACATTCACAAGTTATGTTTTCTAGTGAAAAATATTCATGTGGGATTATTTCAATATAAAAACATCTATATTTAGAAAGGTTCATTATACAATGTTAGGACTTCACTCAATCACAGATTGCCAGCAAGATCTTTCACAGCAGGAAAAGCTCCACTTTTTAGGAAAAGATAAAGAGAACATTCTGATTTGTCACTCTTCAGGAAGTAAAAGAGGTTTTGCAAGACAATCGTGCTGAAAATGTTTAACCTTCTGCCTGAAAGTACAGATTGAAACATTCTTAGTAATGATCTTTTTGAAGTGGCAGAGACATTAGAAGTTTCTTTTATTTCAAGTTCTGATGAATCTTCCAGTGAGGATAAAAACATTCTTGCAAAATATTGATGAGGAAGAAACATCAATTTTACAAAATCGATATATTTTGAACCAAAACAAGATATGAAGTATGGAATATTGACAAATTAACTGATTGTTTATTTTGCAGAACAAATAAAATGAAAGGGATAAAAATACTCCAACTTTCCACAAAGTGATCTCAAGCATTTTCTTGGAATTTTGATTTTCTCTGGATACCATCTCATAACATCAGAAGGAGATTGCTGGAGTAACCAACCTTTCTTTTGTTTTAGAACTAATGAGTAGAGACAGGATAACCAGAACCCTGAAAAAGGAAACAAAGTAGCCAAAGTGTAATTTCTCTGCCACAGATTCAGTGTAAATATTGTTCAATGGGGAATAATTCATGGAAACTCAGCATTGATGAATTAATGGTATCATATTTTGGAAAACAAACACAAAACGGTTGTCAAAGGCAAGCTTTGGCTGTAAGATTTGGTCGCTATGTGAGACTTATGACTACAAATACAATTTAAAAATTTACACTGGAAAAGAACAAAGGGCAAGAGCTGTAACAGAACCGTTAGGGCAAGAGCTGTAACGGTTACAGCTCTTGCCCTAATGGTTGGTTCTGTTACAGCTCTTGCCCTAACGGTTCTGTTACAGCTCTTGCCCTAATGGTTCTGGTTAGGGAAAGAGCTGTAACAGAACCGTTAGGGCAAGAGCTGTAACAGAACCATTAGGGCAAGAGCTGTAACAGAACCATTAGGGAAAGAGCTGTAACAGAACCGTTAGATGCAGTAGGGAAAAAAATCATCACCTAAACACTATGAGGTATAACTTGACAACTTTACAAGCATAAAACTTCTAAAATCTCTCGCTGGTATAAAGCAGTTAGAATTATTCATGAAAATAGAACAGAGCAAGGAACAATGACCATGAGCTCTAACAAGGAACTAAAGAAGAAAGATCAATGGCAGTTTTGACTTTACAGCAACTTGTGTGTCTAAGTGGAACAACAATTCTCTTGTAAATATTGTCAGTACTTCATTGCACAAAGAAGAGGTAGAGGAGGAAGCCTAATAAAACAGCCTAATTTGATTCACCTTTATATGAATGGAACGAGAGGGGGTAGATTTGATGATCCAATAAAAAATATGGTGGCAGCCAGTTGTGGTGAATTTGCTAAATTTGTCTGTAGTTGCAACATGGAGATGTTATTATAATTTACATTCGAAATAAAGGAAAATTGACCATCGATTAACTGTCGTGATGAATTCAAATTTGATGACGAGGAACCCACTTTGAGACTAATAATGGCTGGAGACGGCTTGAATGGGTAATGAAGATAAACTTTAATATAAGTTTAACACAACAGCAAATGTACAACATTTCGACAAGGTTTTGTCATCATCAGGTTTCCAAGCTCAGTATTTGTGACTATTGTTGGAAGATAACTCATATTTTGTATTTTTTAACAAGTAATCAGTTTTTAGTTTTATATTTTATTCCATTACTTCTGTGTACATGGGAACATCTGTGTAGCTACAAAATGGAATTTGTTTCAAGACTGAAAAAAAGGTACCCTGAGTTAATTCCTTCTCTGAAAGTGATGTAAAAAATTCTACTTCCTTCTTGGGTCAGTTGGTAGGCAATTAGAAATAAAGCATCACACAAGGTTTTCTCCAGGATTTTAAAGGAGGTCAAAGATCAGATATGTGATAATTTTTTTCATTTTTGGTAGGTCAGTAGACATTGGGCAGGTACCTGAGGATCTGAGAGTCATTAATTTTTACTCCTACTTTTAAAGTGAGTGATAGGAGTTGCCCTGAAAACTATAGACCTGTTAGGCTTACCTTTTCAATGGGAAAGCCTAGGGTCTGATAAAAGAAACATTTTAAAAGCATTTAGTGAAATATGTTTAAAAAAATATTTATTAAAGGAAAAACTTGCCTTACCGATCAGTTAATGTTTTCTGAAGATGCTACTTATTAGATGGGACACTACTTTAAATAGAATGTGAAATCAAGGTAGGACACAAGTGTTGAATGTAACATCAAGGTAGGATACAAGTGTTGTATGTAACATCAAGGTAGGACACAAGTGTGGAATGTGGCATCAAGGTAGGACACAAGTGTTGAATGTAACATTAAGGTAGGACACAAGTGTTGAATGTAACATCAAGGTAGGACACAAGTGTTGTATGTAACATTAAAGGTAGGACACAAGTGTTGAATGTAACATCAAGGTAGGACACAAGTGTTGAATGTAACATCAAGGTAGGACACAAGTGTTGAATGTGGATCAAGGTAGGACACAAG